TTCTGGTCTCGTTTTCGTGGCGTTTGTTTTGTTTTGTTCTAGCACTGGGCCCGGCTCGGACCATGGTATGTCACGCAGGAAGCGTTGGGCAGGGGCGTCACCCNTTTCCCTTGCACCCGTTGTTGTATGAGTAACTTATGTAGATCTGGACTATCCATGCCCCACTGATGGTTTGTCAATAGCTTGACGAACCGGGGAGGGTGTTCGTGTGTCTGGATACGAGCATGGTAGATCTGCTAGCAGCACGGGGGGGTACGTAGACAGGAGCATGCGTATGCCTGAAAAAGGCTACTACGTGTAGGCCCCCTTCCCCGAATTCGGGAGGGCCCCTTCTTCCCTTCCTTTCCTCGCTCCCGCGGGTGCCTAATCAGAGAGAATTAAAACGTGTCTTCTCCTCCCAAGTACGGACATACCAACAGAGGTTACCCACTATATAGACCACCGGCGCGACCGATGTGTAGTGTCTGGTGCTGGTACGTTACCCTTTGATTGTTACTTTGGGCGGGTGTGGGAAGCGTCCTCCTTTAATTTTGTTTTGTTTTAGTTTGATCGGTTTCCGAGGGCTGTTTACTCGAACGGTCGGTGCGATACCTGTCCTATTCTTTCTATCATTGTGATTTCTTGTTCCGAGTGGTTTGTACCCTAGTTTTGTTTTGTTTCCCCGCGGCGTCGTAGTTGTTGTTGTTGTTGTTGGTTCTCACATTAGCTCTATAGTCCACAAAAAATGGGGAGCCCGTGGTCTCAAAACCCGGCACATACGACGCCGCGAGAGAACAAAAAAAAAACACAAAAATAGGGTACAAACCACTCGGAAGAAGAAAACAAAATGATAGAAAGAAAAGAACAGGTGTCGCACCGACCGTTCGAGAAAAGAGCCCTCGGACACCGATCAAAATAAAACAAAACCAAAAGTAAAGAGGACTCTTCCCACACCCNCGCCGCGGGGAAACAATACAAAAATAGGGTACAAACCACTCGGAAGAAGAAAACAAAATGATAGAAAGAAAAGAACAGGTGTCGCACCGACCGTTCGAGAAAAGAGCCCTCGGACACCGATCAAAATAAAACAAAACCAAAAGTAAAGAGGACTCTTCCCACACCCGCCCAAAGTAACAATCAAAGGTTTACGTACCAGCACCAAGCACTGCGCACCAGGGCATGGGAGTAACGGAGCAAACAGGGCAAAGAGGCGGCAGATGGGCAGACAGCCAGACGTACAAAAACAAAGGCAACAGCAAAGCGAGATCAAGGTGCCCAACACAGCAGAGTAGGCAGGGAGGTCATGAAAAAAA